TTGCTTGTTTGTGTTGTGGGGGGGGGGGGGGGGGGGGAAGAATTCTACTTTTTCTCAGTATTCCTTATTCTAATTTTTTTTGTTTTTTAGTATTTCAGTGCCTTCACATTTTCTCAGTCAACTATGTCCTTCACATCTGCAGTGGGAAATTTGGAAGGAAAAAAATGTGTAAGACATAATGAGGAAAGTGAATGGGCATAGGAGATTTTACATCTCAAGTGTCACCACCTTGATATCTAACATGAGAAATCAAGAGTCTTCTTTTTTTGCTTCTAATCAAATTTCAAAGCCTGTCTTATTTTTGATTGTTAAACCAAACAAAGTTTTCAGTGAATGATAGAAATGTCAGATTAAATATTGTTGCCGGCACCTTCAGTGGTTTTGTCTCCAGATCCAGTAGTCATCATGGAGATGACTTTGTGTCTTTTGTCATGTTTCTGAAATCAACAAGGAGCAGATGAGATTAGACAATTAGTATTTCTGCTTCATAATTTAATGAAACTACTGTTAAAGAAGGTGTTTAATATCTTCCTGCTTCTACAAGTTTTGCTAATGCATGTTGAACTCCTCTGAGCACTCTGTGTATACATGTATAACGTGTATAGACACAGTAATACATATAGCAACCATTTTCAAATTGCTGCATTAAAAATTTGGAAAAAAATCATTAGTGGAGTTGGGTTTTTTTTATTTTATTTTAAGAGACATATTTCAATGGATTTTTTTCAGTAAATTCCTGGGCAGCTCCCCTCCTTCTGTCTTGCATCCACAGTGAAGTGTGCATAGGAAACCGGATTGATCATCCACACCTGGCTTCTTTTGGAAGTCTTCCCACCTACCCCCAGTAAATAAACTACTTCACCCACATGGGGAAATCTATTCAAGAGAGAACTTCTTTTGAGCATTTATCTGCAGCCAAACTCTTCTGTTTGAGAGAGGTCATAATAATTTGCTGCTTCCCCCAGTACAGCTGCGAGAGCAAGGCATGAAGTAAAAAGATCTATCCCAGAAGTACTATGTTTGGTAGGAACAAAAAGGAGTGTTGTAGAGTGGGGTTGGTTGAATTTCACTTACAATAAGTACCTTATTGTAATGTGTCAGTGAGGGTCAAAGACCATGGATGTGTGAAGTAAAATCTCTGTAAAAACAGTCAACTTAGTTCCCCTGTCCAAATACGGGTGATATATCATGATATGATATGATATTATCCAGTGATGAATGGAGGTTAGTGCAGTCCTCACAATACAAGTCTGAGTAATTAGTGTTAGAGTTACATCCTTAAAAAGACAGAATTACTGACTGTCTCTCTTGCTGTAAATGTTTCATCAATCCTGTGCAGGCTGTAAGTCAGTTGGGTGTCTCTCTTCCATACCCAAATCTCTAAACTACCAACAGCACTTGGACAGGCAACCAACAGCACATGGGCAGACAGGTATGGCAAAATAAGTGCCAAGTCATTGGAAGTGCAGCCGCAAGGCTGCAAGGGACCTCTGGAAGTCATCTTTTTCAATGCCCCCTCTTCCAAGTTGGTCACTAGCTGGCATGGCTCAGCATCTTGTCCTGAGGAGTTTTGAATATATATAATGATGGAGGTCCTGTGACCTCACTAGGCAACCTGTTCCAGTGTTTGGTAGTTCTTACAGTGATTTTTTGCCCCCCATAATACCTAATTAGTTTGCTGTGTTCCAGCAAGTAACATGCTGTGTAATAAAAGCAGTATCATATTTTCCCAACAACCCCATGTGTATGCTGATCCATAAGGGAGTCAAAATGCATCTGTTTCATTTCTTATACTTAGTAAATTATGTATTAATTATGGCAGAATTCTGCAGCTTTATCCTGATATATGAGTAAGCCAGAATTCAGTCCAGTAAGTATGAAATTAGGAAATGAAAGAATTTTTACAGGATGACTATGATATTCTGATCAGATAAGAAGCACTGATCAAGTCTTGCTTTCAAATTTTCATTATGCCTGACATGGGGCCAAGTCTGCCAGGTTCTAGAAGGATGGATTGGACTGTTAAATTTGAGAGAGGAAGGAAGAAGCTTGACTTGTACTGCCCTGAAGCCATCTGCATAGCCTATGTCTACTTATGTACTTCTGAGACAAAAGAAGGCACAGTAGTTTTGGGGATGCTCTGGTATGAACCGTAAAAGATGTTTGTCAAGGTTAAAGGAGTTACCTGGTAATTGCCAGATGCATTGGTTCCTTTCAAAGATGTCTCAGCAATTTTTATTCCTAGAAATCCTGTGCCAATAAAAATCAAAATAACATAGACAAAAGTACACTAAGAGATGAGGATTCCTGTTATGCTTACTTAATAGTTATGGATCTCAGTGCCTTTATGAAATGTCCATTAATTCTCAAAACTAGTTACTGCAGTTACCTGGTTTGACATCTTCAGGATTTTCATAGTTATTGACCAAGCATGTGTCTCCCATTTGCATCTTTTGTGCTGATAAAACATTTGAGGTGACTTCAGAAAGTGGATGTTTGCTTTTGGTTCTAAATAGCAAATCAATTGTTCCTATAACTAGCTCTAATGTGACTGCTTGGTAATAGTATTTCCTCAATAAGATTTACATTTACTGTGT